TCCCTGGAAAAGACCCTGATGTTGGGAAAGTGTGAAGGCAAGAGGAGAAGGGGACGACAAAGGACGAGATGGTTGGACAGTGTCACTGAAGCTACCAACACGAATTTGACCAAACTTCAGGAGGGCCTGGCATGCTCTGGTCCATGGGGTCACAAAGAGTTGGACACAACTTGACAACTAAACAACAACAAATGGGTGGGGGAGGTCCCAGAAGTATAGCCTTACTCTTCCCATCACAAAAGTATAGGTATGTGTTATGAAATGCCCTCATTCATATGTACATGAACATGCATATGCAAATATAGCTGATACACATGAAACGCATAGACATTTTGCAAAGATGCATATGTGTACAGTAGATTTCACATTGTACCTTGACAAAATCAAAGAAATTAAGCATAAGAAATATATGTTGACTTCTGTAGTCAGCATATATGAACAATCATAATTGTCAAGACTAAAACAAATAGCTTTATTTAACCGCATCACTTCACAGAGTGAAGACTTATTGTTAACCTATGGTTAATCTTATTGTTAATTTATGGTTAATCTTACTATTATCATCAACATCACGGCATCTTGTAGCATGGAAGGAAAGCCCCCAAAGAATGTGAATACATCTGTACATCCCCTGGGCAGTGAATCTGTCAGCTGATCCTTCTATACAAAAAGTACCAAAATAAGGCAACTCATTCTATGAACCCCACAACCCTCATGATCATAGCAAACTCCCTGGCAGCATTTTCTCTGGCAAACAATTAACATTACTCAAAATACTGATGCAAAAGATCAATGTGATGAGCTATGATCTGCATCATAGAGGCTCTGCACAACAGAACAGAATCCTTTGAATTTTAAAGACATCAACTGAATAATTGAGAAACATAACAGCTAAATACAGACAAGAGTCAGTTCTGTAGTCATGATTTTTGTCATCTTAATGTTCAACTGCAGTTTGTTTTTGTACTTTCTTCTTTCACTTTCATCAAAAATTGTTTCAGGTTATTGCTGTTGACTGCCAGTAATACGGTGTCATCTACATATCTTAAATAACTGATGTTTCTTCCAGCAGTTTTCATTTCTCCTTAATTTGAATCTAGTCTAGCTTTCTATGGAATATGTTCTGCATACAGGTTGAACAGATAGGGCAATAAAACACACCCTTGTCTGACACATTTGCCTATAGGAAACTATTCTGTTTCTCAATATTGTGTCCTAATGGTAGCTCCTTGTCCAGAATACAGATTATGCATCAAGACAACTAAGTGCTATGGCATACCCATTTATTTCAGAAATATCTATAGCTTCTCATAATTCACATAATCAAAGGCTTTATTGTAGTCTATAAAGCATAGATTGATCTTTTGAAATTTTTTGGTACTCTCCTATAGTCAGCATATATGAACAATCAAGAAACTGCAACTGTTTAAGATTTTTTTATACCTTGGTTCAATCATCAATCCAAATGAAGACTGAAGCCAAGAAAATAGAAGACCAGCAATGAAGGAACTAGAAAAATCCGCAAGTTTAAGGATGTGTCCTTTGAGATCAAGGTGAAGATCATCCACAGTAATATATTCCTAGTTACTATTTGCAGTTATGAAGGCTGGACAGTGAAGAAAGCTGACAGGGAAAAAGTGATTCATTTGAAATATAGTGCTTGTGGAGAGTTTTGCAGATACTCTAGTTCACCAGAAAGATGAAAAAAAATGAGTTACATATCAAATCAAGCCTGAACTTTCTCTGGAGGCAAAACTGGAGGTGGTCGTACTTTGAGAGGATCAGGAGAAGGCAGGATTCTCTGGAAAGACCAAACAGGAGATGCATTGACTCCATAAAGGAAATCACAGCCTTGAGTTTCAAGAGCTGATCACGGCTGTTGAGAAGATTATATTTTGGAGGTCAGTCATTCATAAAATTGGAGGCAACTTGGTGGCACATAACAGAGTCCTTTCAAGAGGAAGGAAGGAAACTGAAATGGGTATATTTAATAGGGATGTTTGAATACCATCTGACTGATTTGGGACCATCCCTGAGCTGAGCTGGAGGTGGCTTGAACCAATTTGTTCTGTGGTTTCTTTGGATGTGTATATTTATATGGTTCTGGACCAGGAGGTGGGAAAAGACCCTGAAACTTTGGGAAATAATGGCTATGGCTTGGGTAACTCTGTGGTTTAAGCATCTAGTTTGATTCCCCATGTGCCTCCTTGAGAGGGGCTGGATTCAATGATCCACAGGGTGCCTTCCAGTTCTGCAGTTGTTGTTGTTGTTGTTGTTGTTGTTGTTGTTGTTGTTGTTGTTGTTGTTGTTGTTGTTGTTGTTGTTGTTGTTGTTGTTGTTGTTGTTATCTGTGCAACAATATCAATTATGGGAAAGCAGTAGACAAGTGTGTAGGCAAAGCTCCTACCGGCTTCCTTCCTTCCATTCCCCCTCCATTGGATCATTCGCTTTCCTCCTTGCCCAGCTCCTGCCCTTCCTTGACTCCAGCTAGCAAAGGCATTGCTATGAAGATAGGAAACTCCCTGGTTCCTAGCTGAGCTTCCCAACTGTCTTGCTTCTTCCTGACTCCATGTCTTTGTATTTGCTCTTAGAGGTTAAACTTGATGTGTCCTTTCAACAGCAGCCTAAGAAATGGAGGTTGTGGGATGCTGAAAATACCCCAGGCACCAGCTCTGGCAGGGGCTACACTAGAATCTGGACAGCCTGTTTCTGTGTTTCTGTGATATTCCTGGATATACTGCAAGGACAGCTTTTTGTCCATTTAAAAGTTCATCGCTATCAACATGCACTGCAGGTGTAATCCTCACGTATTAAAATTATGTTGTGTTATAATATTATATGAACTGTCAGTATTGAAACTAAAGGACTGGATTTGTCCAAGCTTCTTTCATTAATTTAGGCACGGGGAATTCCAAGTCAGGGAGGGGTTGTTGAGAATGAGCTAAATGGTTGCTAAACTTTTGAAAATAATCTTTTCATGATTTATGGATGACAATGCTCTTCAGAAATACTGTCAGCTGCTTTTCTTGAACACAGTTGGCAAATCAGTGAAAATGCAGTAGCTGGGGCCAGAAATGGACGTAAGTGATAGGCCATAATTAGAAACAAAAACACATTAATTTTGCAGAAAGGTGACTAAAGCAGACTTTCATAACTGA